TGCAGGGAACACGGAGGCAGCTGGCGGTGCACATGGACCCTCAGGTTCTGCCTGCTCAGCCCGGGGCCGGCATTAAGGGAAAAGGCAGGTTTATCAGGCAGGGCTCCGCTGACTGTTTATTGTCCGCTGCCTCTCTTTGCTCTCCTCCATGGTTTGTGCAAGGCTTTCTCATGATGACAGACCTTGCCTTTTGAATTTGTCCACAGATAACTGGGCATAGAATAGTATGAATAAATGAATTGACTTTCTGGTTTGTATTTCTTCTGAGTTTAGATAGTGTTATTAAGTTTCCCCAGGAACAATTAACTGTGAGACTTTGACAAGGATATGGCAAGGGTGACAATCAAACTGGTAAATTAAGTTCAAGCCGTCTCAGAAGGTCTCTTGGCAGTCAGCCGGCTGGCTGGCCTGTGCCCAGGTGCACCTCTCCACTCCGCTTCCAGCAGAGACCAGCAGTGCTGAAGTTCGGTGTGATGGCATATGTCCTCTCCTGTAATCTCAGCACTCAGAAGGCGGAGGCAAGAAGACCACAAGTTCAAGACTAGTGTGGGCTACATAGTAAGGGTATGAAGCTAGCCTGGACTACACAGTGAGTCTTTTTTCCCCAAAAATAAAAAACAAAAGATTCTGCCCCTGGGGGCCAGAGATTTAGCTCAGCAGCATAAGCGCCTGCCTGGCAGGAGCTGGGTCATGAGTTCGATCCTGGGTACCTTAAAAAAAAAAAAGAGTCTGTCCCTTTACTAGCCATGTGACTCTTAATGGGATATTTAACAACTCCAAATCTTGCTGCACATCTGAAAAGGAAGATAAAATTGGATTATGAGCATCAAGTTCCAGTACCTAGCAAAGTATTATCTCAGCATCATTCCTGCTTGTAGGAACTCACTAGACAGCCTCTCAATTCCCAAGAAGTGCATTTGTATATGACTCAGCCTCTTTGGAATCTCCAGTGCTGGACTTAGAGCTGTTCTAGCTCTCTGGATTTCCCAGTGACTAGAATATGTACATCAGGAAAGCACACAAGCCATTCAGGTGTTGCTCCAAATTTTGGGCAAGGACCTGAGCTAGCCTAGTATTTAGGCTGGAGTGATGATGCTAGTGACAGTGACATTAAAAACAGTAACATCAGTATCTGTGAGAGAGATGACTACAAACTGAGGAGCGGCAGATACGTCAATCTGCATTCCTTACACTGTACATTGCTGCCTGTCAGGCACTCAGTGCAAGATTCTCAGTGACAGCTGCTTTTGAACTTGGGAAATCTGGGCCTGCTGAAAGGTACAGTCACCCTTTTCTAACCTCACCAATCCTCCTTACATTCTCAGAAATAATTGCTGTGGGTTCTCTTTTAACTTAGCTGATTCCTTGGATACCTTACATTTTAAATCATCTTTTTGTGAGTAGCAAATCCCCTACTTCTAGTCTCTGAATGTGTGATCTTTGCTCTAATTATGTTGAGAGTGCCTGTTATTTCACCTGACTCTAGTTGTTTGTGAGTGACTAAGTAGCCACGGGGTTAAAGCAGACTAGGATCAGAGAGCAACTCAGCCTCTCAGGACCTCAGTTCCCTTCCTTACAAAGGAAGGAGATCCGGTTAAGGTCACTAGGTCATGCGATGCAAGTACGTGATAGATAAAGTAATGAACTTCTGCTCAGTGAATGCAGTGAATAGGGCTTGCCAAGGCCCCTTCCAGCTCTCTGGCTCTAGCAGAGCCAAGGCATCAAGGCAGAAATCAAGACTTTATTCTGGGGATGCAGATTTTCACTAGCCACAATAAAGAAATACTTAGCAGGTGGGCCTTGTCAAACCAGATCGAAACAGAGGTCTCAGACCAAGGAGAGGTCAGTGGCAAAGGAGAGGGCAGAATTGTTAGAGGAACCAAAATTGAGGAGCCTTGATCAAGAAGTAGCTTTTCTGTCCTGGATATGGAAATGCAGGAATCCCAGCAAAGATGGGCTTGCTCTGTGAACCGCCACCTGGTTGGTTGCTGGTAGACAATAGGACGGCTGTTCTTGCTCCCTACTACTGATCTCCTCCTGGATTCATCCATCCCACCTGTCACTGGTAAGCCTCTGTTTTAATTGTGCTGTTCCAGTTCAAGAAGGTCTGTTCTCAGAAAGCAGGCGTGAGTTCCTCAGCGTTTGGCCTCACTTGCCATCTTCCTCTTCCGTGGGTTTTTTTGGGAGATTGCACTTGACAGTTGTCGTACAATATCCATAAATCGCGAAGGTACCTACTTACTTACTGGTGCCTTTCTAGAGCCTGGTGCAGTGCCAGTTGCCTGTACATATACGTGTTTCTAGCATACATGCCAAGTGCGCCTCTTCTGGAGCTGGGTTTATGCCAGTCCCTCTGCCTGCAGTTCTTTACTTTATCACCCTTGCCTGGTGGAGTAAAAGTTACCAGCCTTGTTTGCAGTTAGGAGCTCCAACCCTTTGCCTTTTCATGCCATTCGCGAGGATCCATCTGTTTTTTCCTCATTTCCTTCACTCCTCCTCCCTGTTTCCCTCCTTCCCTGTCTCTTTGTGGTACTAGGGATTTAACCCAGGGCTTTGCAGTGAGTTACATTTCCAGTCCTTTTAAAATTAACTTAAGGGCTAGGAATATGACTCAGCAGCACAAGAGCCAGCCTGGCAAGTACGAGGTCCTAAGTTTGATTCCCGGTACTCCTCACCCCCCAAATTTAATTTAATTTACTTACCTATTTGAGACAGGGTCACAGTCACTCCGCTCACTTGTGAACCTTCTGCCTCAGCCTTCTACAGTGCTGGAATTACAAGCATGTGCCACTGTACCTAGTTTCTTGTCTTTTTGAGACAGGGTCTTGCTATGAAGTTCAGGCTGGCCTTGGGCTCACTTTGTAGCCCAAGCTGGTCTCAGACTTGTAAAAAAGTTTGCAAACTTTCTCCTGCCTCAGCCTCCCATGTGCTGGGGTTACAAGTATTTGCCACCATGCCTGGCAGTTTCTTCTTATCTTATGGATCAAGTCTTTTGAAGACTTTTTAAGTCTTTTTCAAGTCTTTTAAAGTCTATTTTTCAGTCATAGCAATGTCAACCTTATTTCCAGCTCCCTGTGGACGAGGATCTTGTTTTATATTTCACTTGGGTCCTACCTAGCGTCTAGCTAGCCATGTGCTGGGTGAATGACGGACAGTTGACATAAATAGTTATTGGTTGCCATGTGTGTATTGTTGCCTGCAGACTTAGGGAAAGCTAAGTGCAGTAGTGTGGAGAGTAGCAGTAGAGTAGAGTTCACTGAGGCACAGAAGAGAGCGCCTTGTCCTCCACTAGTGGCAGCAAAGGCCTTTGCTTGAGTTCCCTCCTAGGGACCTTGCCAGCACTGTGCATTTCACAACATTCACTTTTTTTTTTTTGGTCTTTTTCGTTTTTATCGGTACTGGGATCGAACTCACTACTGCCTGCTTGCACGGCAGGCGCTTATGCCGCTGAGCTAAATCCACAGCCAACATTCACTTTTGTTAAATTAAGAAATGTATATTGAGACCATAAATCTTTAGTGTTATTTTCTTCCCTGTTTGTTTAAAGGCTTTCTATGTTTCCTGCAAACTGTGACTTAGTTCTCACTTACTTTTTCTGGATTTTTTCTTGTGTTGTTTCTTTGTCACTTAGAGAACCCTACTCAAACTTTCAAATCATTTTTGGAAGTAGACAATACAAATTTAAATAAATAAATATTCTTTGTGCTCGTTTTAGAAAGCTGGCCTAGTTTTCCACTTTGTGTTGAATTCCCATTTGTGTTTTAGGTCATTATACAGCACTTGGTTCAGCCAATTAAGTTTCTTCTGTCTAAGTATCTTTATTCTGTATCAGTATAGTCTTTTCTTGAGGCTTTAATATCATTCCTTTGAGGAACATCCATCTTTTCTGGTGTTCTTTTGTTGCTTAAACGTTCTTCCCTTGGGACCTTTGACAATTTCCCCAACCTAGCAATTTCAGTAAGTGCTTAATCACATAGTTTAGGTTGCCTCTCTGCGTCAGTCTGCAGGACTTAGACATTTCGGCATGCAGCGTTCTGCCAGTTTCTCACTTTGGAAAAGCACACTTGTGCATTTCATCCAGTGCTGTGTTCTCCTTCCATTTAACTCCTTTGCAAAGGGAGTGAGACAGAAACAGCAAAGTGGGTAGGAGTGTTCACATTTCATTTGGGAGATCAGCAAAGTGTGGTTTAATCTCTCTCGTGTATTTCAGTAGCCCCAAATCATTTAGTGAGTCCCTCATGATTAAAAATATATTTAATAACAGAATTCTGTACCCAAAAATGGCCTACAAAGATTATATTATTGTTTATTTATTTATAGATAGGTACTTAAGCTATCCAGTCAGGTGGCCATTTTCAAATTTGTTTAATGAAGATTTCACAGCCTCTCTTGGTAACAGTGATAATAGGTAACATCCATAGTGCTTACTACCTACTTGGCAGTTTTAAATACAAAACCAGACATAATAACAAGCAACATATAGTAGGCTTTATTTTATTTTATCTTTTTTTGGTGTTTGCTGTGTGTTCCAGGCTGGCCTTGAACTCACTGTGTAGCCCAGGCTTGCCTTGAATTCACAGGAATCCTACCTCAGCCTCACAAATGCTAGGATACAGGTGTGCACCCCCACGCCTAACACGTACAACGGACTTCGAAAAACTCAAACAGGATCTCAGCCTTTTAACAAGATAGTTTAATCCTTTCCTTTATTGTCATTACTAATTGTTTTAGACTTATTTTTAGCCTCTTAATTTGTTTTCTGTTTACCATACTTGCTTAATTTTTCAGTCTTCCTGCTTACTACTGGATAAATCACATTTTTCTTGTTCGGTACATCTCAGATTTGAAAATACTTCCTTAGCTTCTGTTTGCTTATACCCTTACCTGTTGACATAGAGTCTTCCTTTCAGGCTAACGGGAACTGTTTGGCCTCCAGTGGACCGTTAGATCACCCCCATGCTACTCTCCTTTCTCTCACCTGTGTTGTTCTGTCATTTCAGGGAGGCAGTGGCTTACAGTGTTGAAGAGTGGGGACCTTGGTGTCAGTTGCTTGATTCTGAACGGCATCCTGCCATACACTGACGGTGAGACCCCTCGCTGTGCCGTTGTTTCTTACCTGTGAAAGGGGCGCTACGCAGACCCACCGCATAGAGGTGTTGAAAGGGTTTCGTGACTTAATAGAGGCCAAGCATTGGGAAGTGTCTGACATACAGTAAGTGTTTGTATGTGACAGGCACTATGATTACTGGTATTCTACCTTTTTAAAATCTCCCTTTTACCCACTTTTAAACAACTTACGCGTTTTATTTTATTATTTTTTGGCCATGTTGAAGACCAAATTCTTTTCACGCTAGGCAAGTGCTGTCCCACTGAGCTATCTCTACCACCACCCATGACCATGCATCATTTGTTTAGTGGTACTGGGAATTGAATCCAGGACCTTACACTGAGCTACTCCTCCAAGCTGTTTAGTTTTTTTAAATTTTGAGACAGGGTCTTGCCGAGTCAGTAGGTTGCCCAGTCTGAGCTTCAGCTTGCTGTCCTCCTACCTCAGCCTCCCAAGTAGCTGAGATTGCAGATGGGTGCTACCACACCCAGACATGCATTTTAGCTAATAACATGTTTAATAATTTTAAAGATTAAGGTATAAGTAACACACAGTACTGCAGTTCTATATGTTCTATTTGAAGAACTTTTGAGAGATATCTATGCCGTAACCACCACCCAAAGTAAGATTTAGGACATTTTCATTCTTCCAGAAAGTTCCGTTGTACCTATTCAGTTTCTTTTCCATACCCACCTTTTACCATCTCTGTAAATACCGTCTGATTTTATCACAATAGTTTTGGCTCTGGGTCTGTTCCTTATACTTGGACCAAATACTATTTACTCTTTCATGTCTGGCTTTTTAAAAACAGCATCATATTTAAGATTCATCAATGTTACATGTGTAGTAGTTTATTCTGTACTAGAAGAAATTGTTGGGCTGGGGATGTAGCTCAGTGACACAGCCTCTGCCTGCAAGCATGGAGTCATGAGTTTGATCCCTGGTTCCAAAAAGAAAGAACAAAAGAAACCGTCTTACAGCTCTCCGAGCAGTGCCATTTACCACCTCTGCTAACAGGCTGTGAAAGTTCTAGCTCCTCAGCAGTCTGGCTACCTCGGTGCTGTCAGCCTTTCTGCAGTCTCTTCGCATGCCCCTTGCAGTTTTTTCCTTGCACTTCAGTTCTTCTCTGTTTCCCTTGAGTAGTAGTCCTCTCGGTGACGGTCTCTTAATCTCTTGTCTTAGTTTGAAACTCATCCTTACACAGATACTCGGTCGATTGGTATTTATTTCCCTTAATATTTGAAAACTATTACTCCATTTCTACTGATACCTATTGTTATTAGTGACAGATTTCTATCAGTTTAGTTATCATTCTCTTTAAGAAATAGCTTTTCTCTTGGTTCGCTTAAATTCTTTTTTCTGTGTTGTCGATAATTTGACATTTTCATTCTGAGGACTCATGTCTATCTTTAATTTCAGAAAATTCTCAGATTATTTAAATTGCTTTGCCTGCATGTTCTCCATCGCCTCCCTCTGGAATGTCTTGTTAGAGACACGATCAGCCGTGTCATTCTGTCCTCCATGTTCCTAACCTTTCTTTCAGATTCTCTTTTAATGTTGCTTCCTTCTGAGCAATTTTCTACGATTTCTCTTCATAATCAATCACTGTTTTTTCTTTTTAACTGTGTCTAATCTGTGTAATTCCTCAAAAGATGAATTTTAGTGACTAATCTTTATTTTTGTTTTTAGTTCTTTTGGTGTGTGTGTGTGTGTGTGTGTGTGTGTGTGTGTGTGTGTGTATCTATATCTATCTATCCAAATATGTATCTACATGCCTCCCCTTTTTTATACTATGTTTTTTCAGTATGACTTTAATTTACCTGTTTGTGAAAATGAAACTCTTTATAGCATTTTTATTTCTCTCATTTCTTCCATGTAATGATTTTCCTTCATGGTAAAGTTGCATGATTCATTTCCTCGTGTGACTTTCTATGTTTTGTCTTTTAGGTAAGGGTATGGGGACCCTCCTTTTGTCACCCTCCTGTGACATTCATGTACTTATCCAGCTGACATAGAGCCCCTCTTGTTTTATTTTTTCCCGCACCCCCACACTCCTGTTGTCATCCCTCTTTTCCCTCTAGGTACTCACTGTAATACATTTGATAGTGTCTGTGTATCTGTGTGTGTAGCTTTAACTTACACATCCTGTTGGTTCGATTATGCATTTGTAACTTATGCAGTGGTATGATACCTCATGTTGTTGTTGATTGGTTGCTTGTTTTTTGCTCTGCATATTTAGGATCTATCCATGTTTCTGTGTGAATAGCAAGACAGTTCTGCTGTCTAATGTGCTGTATGCCGTTGCATACATCTTGTACTTTACCTTATGTGTTCTCTTATTGATGGTATCTAAATTGACTCTCCTCTCTGCTGCCACAAATAATGCCAGAGTGATCTTTTTGGTCATATTCCTTTATGGACCTATGTGAGAATTTTTGTGGAATACATATGTGTGTAGGAGGATGCATTTTAAGTTACAAGGTATTTATATGCGGTGCATTTCACTAAATAGTACCGCCTTGCTTTTCCAGAACAGTTGTATCAGTTAGATACCTATCATTGATACGTTTGATTCAAATCTAGGTTTCACCACTTCAGTGTTAGACCTTGGAAAAATTACTCAGCCTCTCTGGGTTTCAGTTTCTCTGCCAAAAGGGAGGAAGGGAGAGGGAGTATTAATAGTGTCTACCTCATCAGGTGGTAAGATGATAAAATGAGTTTATATACATAGAGCGTATGAAAATAATAGCTTTCAAATCCTAGCTGCTGTTGCTGTTTTTTGTTTTGTTTTGTTTTGTCTTTTGACACAGGGTCTTGCGTGTAGTTCAGGCTGGCCTCAGACTCACAGCAATCCCCTAGCCTCAGCCCGAGTGCTGAGATTACAGGCATGCACCACCCTGCCAGGTTTACTGGGGTTTTTTGTACTAGGAATTGAACTCAGGACCTCGCGCTTGCCAGGCAGGCGCTGTAACACTGAGCTATATTCCCAGCCGAGCTGCTATTGCTATAATAACTACTTATTAGCAAATTATTTGTAGTTTTCTTTTTTCTTAACTTTATAGAAGTTCCTTATATATTGTAGGTACTGTCTGATGCCTTTAAATTTTGCAGATATCTGTCATTTCTACCATTTGTTCTGAATCTGTCTGTAGAGTTCTTTTAATAACTATATAATCAAATTCTTTTTTTCCCCCACTTTTGGGGTATTAAGAAATCTTTTTGTACCCCTACTTCAAAGGTCCCCTCTGACATTTTCACATTTGCCTTTCACATTCAGGTCTTCCTCATGTGACTTGTGATGGTGAGCCTCTTTTCTGTGTTTTTCTTTTTCCCAGTGTGAGTCTCCATGCTGTGGATGTTGAAAGTATTTTACTTTTTTCTGCTGTATACCAGGAACCAGTTTTTAATGTTAATTTCTCAGCTCAAGATTCCTATATAACATATAATATAAATTTGGTACCTAAACCTCTGTACGGCATAGATCTGCATTTAAGATTTCTTGTACTTTGTTTTTCTACTCAAGACCTAGATAATTAGTAACTTTTGTCATCATTTCCTTGGGCCCATGAGTAGAGATTTTATAAGGCTGCATATCAAGGAGAGGAATAGGCTTTTGAGGCTGTGGGCTTTATGCAGGGGACTCAGTTCTAAGTCCCCACCCTCTAACTGCGTGAAGCCATATTTGCAGTCTCAATGTAAGCATTCCAAGCCCTGGGCCTGTGTAGGAGTTTGGAACCCCTATGGGCCACCGTGGTCTCAACTCCCCACTTACTGTTCTAGCTTTGATTTTGGTGTCTCTTTCATTTCAGGTGCCTGGGGATAACTTTCTTTCTTTCTTTTTTTTAAACTTGACTTATGTATTTTAAAAGCATTTTTGCTGTTTCATCCAGAATTTCGATGTGTTTGTAGTTGGAGAAAAGACCCATTTACATCAGCCCAGTGTACCATTTTGCCAAAAGTCTGTTCTTTAATTAATATTCCTATTGATGTCAATAAATATTCAGATTTCAACATTGCAGCTTACATTCATTATGTAGCCCTTGACCATCCTTGACTGTTTGTGACTTTAGCTCTATTCTCTTTTGCTTGGCCAAGGTTGTCACTGTCTTGTTAGTATCTACGAACTGGTAGGGCACATGATTTTTTTTAATCACTTCATACTTATTGTGCTAAAATTATTTTCTCTTCTGATTTTTTTAATAAAAACATTAAACAGCTGTGATCACAAATTTCTTTCCTCTGCATTTTGTTAGCTCTTATTCTTTTTTTTTTTTTAAACTAGTTAAGAAAAAACACTCATGTTGGTCGACTTAGTTACCCATACATATAACGTAAGTGCATAAACAGTTACTTATGCGGCTCCTACACCAAATATACCAAATATAAGGGCAGGAAAAAGCTGCAAAGCTTTTATTTATGACTTTTTTGACACCACATTCACTAGCTTTCAAAAGTGAATGGGCAACACAAAGGCTGTATAGGAGATTTTTTTGTTTTTTTTTTTTTTTTTTTTTTTTTGGTATGGGGGATCAAACTCACAACCTCATGACCTCAGGCTTGTCAGGCAGGCGCTTATGCTGCTGAGCTACCTCCCCAGGCCCATTTGCTCTTATTCTTCAGTCTTCATAAAAGATGTAGATACAGAAAAATGACCATAAAGCAGCCTTTTAGCTTTAATTTGTCCTAAAAATGTAACTCCAGTCAATCATTTCTCACTAATAGGAATGTTTAAGGAGATCTGATATATGTCCAGGTAAATCTTGAGACGTACTGCAGTCCATACCTTGTCTTATGAAAAAAAAATCATACCGTGTCCATGCATTTTGTTTGTATCAGTGCCTGTTCAATAGTTTATACTTCTTGTTATTTGTGATTTAATTTTTTCTGACTTTTTTCTCAGATACTAAAATAAGTCAATATAAAACTTTAGTTATTCTCCTTTTTTTCGAAAGATAGCACCTATAATTGCTTTCTTTTGTTCCTGTTACCAAAGATTGAACTCATGACCTCATGCTTGCCAGACAGGTGCTATGAGGTGCTATGCTTGAGCTATATCCCCAGCTGTCTATAACTGCTTGTTTTACATCTTGAAATTTTTTTCCTCTTCCTGTAAGTACTACAAGATACAAATTTCATTTCTTTTGCTGCTTTTGGTTCTATTATTAATAGCTAATCATTTAGCTCCAAGAGCTGTTTGTTCATCTACTTATATAAATATGTGTATGTTTATATCTGTTTACATACATATTTATATATAGATATCAAAATGGACAATAATAGGGTCGCATGTTCTCAAAGATCAGCTAAGTATGATGGTGCATGCTTGTGATCCCAGCACTTGGGAAGCTGAGGCAGGGAGACTGCTGTGAATTTGAGGACAACCTGGTTTACACAGCAAATTCAAGACCAGTCCAAATCACACAGTGAGACCCTGTCTCAAAAAAAAACCAAAAAGCCCTTTGTGTTGTTGCATGCCTATTACCCCAGCACTTGGGAGGCTGAGGCAGGAGGAATGCTGTGAGTTTGAGTCCAGTCTGGACTATAGAGCAAGACCCTGTCTCAAAAAAAAAATTTTTTTAAAGAAGTTGTCAAAATTCTTCCAAAAAGTAGTTGTACCATTTTGCATTCCCATTTACAGTGAATGACAGTTTTGTGTTTGTTAGTTTTTTTCTGTTCCACATTTTGTCAGCATTTGATACAGCCAGTGTTTTAGAAGTGATTTTCTTTCTTCTTTTTTTTTTTTTTTTATCAGTACCGGGGATTGAACTCACGACCACACGCTTGCAAGGCAGGTGCTTTTGCCACTGAGCTAAATCCCCAGCCCCTCAGCCAGTGTTTTAGATTTTGGCCATTCTCATAAGTGGATAGTAGTATCTTGTATTAATTTGCGATTACCTAATGATATATGGTGTTGAATATTTTTCATGTGTTTACTTTGCCATTATGTCTTTTTATGGAGGTATCTTTTCAGGTCTTTTGCTAATTTTAAATTTATTCTTCTAGTTTTGTTTTTTCGAGGCAAAGTCTTGCTGTGCCGCACAGGTTGACCTTGAGCTCACAGTCCTCCTGACTCTTGAGCACTGGGAGAGTAATTTCAAATTCCACTTGTTCATTGATAGCATATGGGAAAAATTGACCTTTTGTTTTGTTGTATTTTGAGTCAGGGTCTTACTATGTAGTTCAGGCTGGCTTTGAACTCCCTTATGCAGCTCAGCCCACCCTCAAACTTGCAGCAGTCCTCCTGTCTTAGCCTCCTGTGTCCTGGGATTACACCATGCCAGGCCAGTGATTGACTTCTGGTTTTTTTTTTTTTTTTTAATATGAAATGCTTCACGAATTTGCGTGTCATCCTTGCGCATGGGCCATGCTAATCTCTGTATTGTTCCAATTTTAGTGTATGTGCTGCTGAAGCGAGCACGACTTATGTATTTTTAAAAAGTTTTATTAATACATGTTTGCAGTATGTAGTCTATCGTGGAGAGAGTTGGTACATGTACATCTGTGAACCACATCTCACTTCTTTTTATTTCCCCTTCCCCTCCACTCCATTTCTTTTTCTCTAAATTTTTTTGCCTCCAAAAAGGGTTTTTTTGTAAATGTCAGGTTGACTTTTGTATATTAACTTTGTGTCCTGAACTGTCTTACAATTGCTTCTTAGTTCTAAGAGGAATTTTTCAATGTCTATGCTGGTTTTTGTTTTCCTTTCCAATCTTGTTTTCTCTTTGCCTTATGGCAAGAGCTAGTAATTCCAGTATAGTGTTGAAAAGCAGGTTAGGAAGAAACGTGCATATATTGTTTCTGAATTTAGCAGAACAGTGTTGCATTTTCACTATTCAAATGTGAGGTACATGTAGAGTTTTTTGTAAATTCCTTTTTTAGATAGTATCGCACTATTTAGTCCAGCTTGACCTTGAATTGGAATCTTCCTGTCTCAGCCTCCCAAATTGCAGATTAGAGCTATGAACCACCAGATTGCCATTTATCAAGGGTAGGAAGTTTCTTTCTATTTCTAGTTTGCTGAGGGGTTTCATTATCAGTAGGTGTTGGATTTCATTAAATTCTCTTTCTGCATCATTGATACGATGTGCTTTTTTTTTTTTTAACCTGTTTGGTGTTATAGAGTACGTTAATTGGTTTTTGAATGTGTCTCTCGTTCACATCTATAGTTCGTAAATCATGACAATTAGTTTCTATACATTCTTTGACTCTCTGTTCCTCTCTCTTCTGTTGTCACATATCCCTGTCAAAACCTTTATTGATTTCTTCTTGATGTGCAATAATAAAACCTGTCTTTAACATTATCCCTCTTAAATTCTTTAGAAATACCTCCGAGGTAACACATATTAAAATGCATATCTGGCCATGTGGCTTTCCCACATTCATCCCTTCAGTGACTTCTCATTGTCTCTAGGAGAAAATCCCAGCTCTTAAGCATGCCTGTCTGTCCTGGGACCAGCACCTCTGGCCGATCTCCAGATTCCTCTCTTGTCTCTCCTAATCCCCAGCTTTGTATTCTGTGTCTGGAGCCTCCTTGCTTTGACCTCCTTAGCCTCCTCCCTACGCTGTGGAATGCTCTCCTGGCGCGTACCTCATGCAGGCTCCTCTGCTTGCAGGGCCTTTTCCTCCCACCCTGCTTACCTCTTCAGTGCCTGTGCATCATACACAATGCAAGCCAGCTCTTCCCTCTTCCTCAAAGCTTTACTCTAACTTCTGGACGCCCCTGTCCCCAGCTGGCTTTCTGTGTGCAAACCCCTTGTCATTACATCTTCCTGTTATTGATCATTCTACAATCAGCCAACAAGATTTGGGTTGGACAGAATGTTAAGCACTGAGATACAGCAGATGTGAAGATCCTGGCCTACCAGAGCTCACCTCCTAGTGAAGGGAGAAGATGATAAACGCTTAAAAATACAGTGTGTCCGTGGGCATAAGTGCTGTGATGAAAAGCAAAGTGGGATGTTATGAGGTTAGGGGAGGTGACTCTGAAGAGCAGGATAGCAGGAGGCCTTGCTGATATGCAGGTTGAATGCTGCTTGCCAGAAATGCTTGGGACCAGAAATGTTTTGAGTTTTTTTAACTTTTGGAACATTTGCATATAAAATGATACATCTTGGGAATGAGACCAAGTCTAAACACAGAATTCGTTTACATACACAGCCTGATGGTAATTTTAAACTGTATTGTTAATGTCCCTGAGTGTTGACTGCAACTGATCACCTGAGGTCAAGTGTGGAATTTTCTTCTTACTGCATCATGTTAGCAGTCAGGAAGTTTGTGATTTTGGAGCATTTTGGATTTTGGATTTTCTGATTAGAGATGCACAATCTGTATGGCCCTTTCATACATCATAAATCAGCTTTTTTTTTTTTTTTTTTTTTTTTGTCTTTTTCTTTTTTATCGGTACCGGGGATCGAACTCACGACTGCCTGCTTGTAAGGCAGGCGCTTATGCCGCTGAGCTAAATCCCCAGCCCATAAATCAGCTTTTTAAATACCCAACAAAAGCAACTTAAAAGAGGTTTATTTTGACTCATGGTTTCAATCCATAGTCTCCTGGCTCCAAGACAGAAATGTGGTTAGCAAAACATGGAGTGGAAAACTGCTGTTCTCATGATGGCCACAAGCAGAGAGAGGAAGGGTCCAGGAACAAAAAGATACACCCTCCTGGGTGGTGGCCCAGTGACTCACCCTCTTCAACCAGGCCTGCTTCCTAACAGCACTTTTGGGCATGAACTCATCAGTGGATTGTGTCACCTTCCAAAGGCCCTGCTTCTGGACCCGAGCCTTTGGGCAGGCATTCTTGCTGCTACTACTGCTGCTGTTGCTTCTCCTCCTTCTCCTGGCTCTTCTCCCCCCTTCCTTTCCCTCCTCCTCCTCTTTTTTTTTTTTTTTTTTTTTTAATTTTATTTTTGGAGGTAGGGTCCCTCTGTGTATCCTAAGTTGACTTTGAACTCCCTACCATCCTGCCTCAGCCTCCCGAGTACTGGATTTACAGGTGTACATCACCAACCCAACTTTGGGAGGCATTCTTCATCCAAACCATTAGAAGCAGAGACAAAGAACCAGTCAGGTCCATATGAGGAGACTCTGTGGCTGAAGTTTGCTTGCTATGTTCCAAAGTCAACAAGGAGAAGGCAGTGGTATACTTAGAGCCGAGTAGGTGAGGGCGGGGTTAGAGAGCCAGAAGGTCACCAGGTCGTGGCGGGCTTTATAGACCATTATGAGAACCCCAAGTGAGACTGGAAGCCCTTTGAGGCTTTTGTGTAAAGAAGCGGCCAGCTTTGAATACATCTTTAATAGATACTCAAGTCAAGGTAGGTGGGATAGGAGGGGAAGGAGCAGTACTAGGCAAGGACAGAGGCACAGGGACCAGTTAGGAGATTATTGCAGTAATCTAGATAAATGGTGATGGTGGTTTGTAATGACCACAGGCCAGTGATTAGATTTGGCATATGTTTTGAAAATAAAGCTTAAAGAATCAAAGTTAGGGCATGAGAAAATCAGGAGTCAAAGATGGGCTTGTAGTGTTTCGGTTTGAACAGCAAGAAGGACAGAATTGCTATGAAGTGGAAAGCTGGCTGACGAATGTTGGAGCTGTAGGGTTTCAGAAACCTATTAGGCTTTCAGTTGGGGATGCAGAGTAGGTCATTGGAAGCAAGTACTGAGTTCAAGGAGGAGCGAGAGCTGGAAAAGGAACAGAAAGGAACCAACAGAAGAAACCAAGAAGTTGTGGCTGGTCAGTTAGCAGGAGAACCTAGAGCACTAATGGCAAACTTTTTAGAGCTTTCAGTGATGTAAACACACACATATGCCACCACTGATCTAGAGTCAGTTGAAAAGTGCATGTTAAAAAATTAGACCTTTTAAAATGAAAGACCCAGTCCAAAAATGGGCAAATGAAATGAATAGTTACTTCTCAGAAAAACAGCACAAATGGCCAATTAATACATGAAGAAATACATCACTGGCTGTTAGAGAAATACAAATTTAAACAACATTGAGATTCCATTTCACTCCAGAAAGACTAGCAAAGCTTTAGGAGCTGGGGATACAGATAGCTCAGTGGCACACTGCCTACCCTGGCAAGCACAAGGTACCTCCACCACCACCAAAAAAAAGACAAAACAAAAACCTTTAACCCCAGGAACTTTTCTGTATTATTGGTGAGAATGCAAATTAGTACAAGCACTGTAGAAATCAGTGTGAAGATTCCTCAGAAAACTAAAACTAGAAATCCCATTTGACCCAGCTAGTTCCTCTTCTAGATATCTTCTTGAAAGACTTAAAGATTTCGTATTACAGTGATGCATGCATGTTTATAGCAACACAGTTCATGTTAGCTAAATCTTGGAAGCAGCCTGTATCTCCATCAGTAGATGAATGAGTACAGACACGGACATTTACACACGATGAGTACTACTCTGCTATAAATAAATATGAACTTGTGTCATTTGTTGGTAAATGAATATACCTTGAGACTATAATGTAAAATGAAATAAATCAGACACAGAAGCTTAAATATTGCTTGATTTTTCTTATATGAGAAATCCCAAGGTATAAAGAACAAAACAAAAGTTAGACAATAGGAAGTAAGGAGGTAGATCTTTTTCAAATGGGAAGATCAAGAGATAGAGGGAAGTGTGGATGATGTACTGAAAACATGTCCTAGTGTAAAAATTAAAAATTCAACAAGAAGTCCATCTTAGAGGGCGGGAATGTTGACTCCTGTCCAGCACTGTGGATAGATAGCTTCAGTGTGCTGGGGACGGGTGGCCAACGGCTCTGTGGGGGCAGGAGTAGCAGCCAGGAGAGGGTGCTTACCTCTTTAGCAGCCCTCTCTTGCTTGCAATGAAGGCCTCTTTTCCAAAAAAAGAAAAAGAATAGCATCTAGTACTATAGTTGCAGCTGTGAGGTCAGTGACATGTGGCCAGTCATTTCATGGCTTCCTTTCCTTGGGGTGTCTCTTGGGCCTGCTGAGTTTGCCTTATCTATGAAATGGGGAGGAGACGATGTCTCTTTTACTGAGTCATTTTGAGGATCAAATGATATTGTTCAAATAAAGATCCAAGCATACTTCCTTTCCTGTAGTTAAGCACGTGATAATTAGTATAATTATTAATGTTGTATACCTAGAACACTGCCCTTCCCTGTTGAGCAACATTTGTTGGACGAATGAGTGAATTGCTGTTTTGTTTGTTCAGCGTTTCTCACTAAGGCACTTTCCATGTGCTTGTGAAGTTTCAGTGTGTGGTGCTGTGGCAAGAGAAAGGAAGAGAAGTCCTGTGGCAGAGACACTGTGATGGAGCTCCCCAACTACAGCCGGCAGCTGCTGCAGCAGCTGTACACACTGTGCAAGGAGCAGCAGTTCTGTGACTGCACCATTTCCATCGGCACCATTTACTTCAGGGCTCACAAGCTCGTCCTGGCTGCAGCCAGCCTCCTATTCAAAACCTTGCTGGACAACACAGACACTATCTCCATTGACGCAGCTGTGGTGAGCCCCGAGGAGTTTGCCCTCTTGTTAGAAATGATGTACACTGGCAAGTTACCCGTGGGCAAACACAACTTCTCCAAAATCATCTCTTTAGCCGACAGCCTGCAGATGTTTGATGTGGCTGTTAGCTGTAAGAATCTTCTGACCAGCCTTGTAAACTGCTCCGTGCAGGGTCAAGTGGTAAGGGACGTCTCTGTGCCATCCTCTGAGTCATGTAGGAGAGAAACAGAGATACCTCAAATAGAAGTGCTTTCCTCCGAAGGTGCTGCGGAGGCTTCTGCCACCTCCATGGAGGCCTCTGTCACTTCGGGAGGTCCTGTGAAAGCCAAGGCCCAGCAAACAATCCAGACGGGGACAGAAGAGATGAGTGCAAGTCCTTCCACTGCCCAGGAAGTTCCAGGGGATGCAGAAGCCCCAGTGGAGACTCCTCAGCCGGCTGAAGTTGGTTCCCCCTCAGCTGCTGGACAGACCTTGAGTGGAGCAAAGGGGCTGAGCACAGAACCAGGTAGTGATTATTTAATTTTCTATTTAACTTCATTTCAGTTTAATCAAAATTTGTAGTTCTGTAGTCAATTACTAGATTTGATGATCTCTGTTAATTTTTTATTTCATTGATAAATTTACTACAGACCACCACTAGGCAGGAAACCAATCAAATGCAGTACCTCACTGCGTTCTTCTTTAAAAGTGTCTATGTTTTTCAGGGTTCAAATCCTGGGGCTGAGCAACAGAGCAGAAGAGGGGTATCAAGCATTCTCCTTGCTCATTATCCCTTGTTTTAAGCAGCTGCGAGTGTACACAGGCGGGCACTCTGAGAGGCACTGGGGCTTGTTGTGTAGCTCTAAGCCTGCAGTCGGTGACCTGAAGGTTCTCAGACAGCTGAAAACTTTATATTAGTCATTTCGGGGAATAAATTGCTGTTTGTTTTATTTTGTTTTACATTTAGAATGTGAGAGGAAATACTACCATTTGAATTTTCTTCTAGAAAATAAAAATGTTTTCTCAGATGCACTCTTGGTTACTCAGGATATTTTAAAAAGACTAGAAGAATGTCCAGAAATTAAAGGCCCACAGAAGAAGGTAGGTATCTAAGCTTTATCTTCTTTTTCTAATTCAGTGTTCTTAGGATACCCTGTCAACTTTCCTTATGGGGCAGAAGTATGAATATACAAAATACCCTAAGGGTTCAAATTTCTCACACTTGAATGTTTTGGTCATTTATTCCTTACAGGGCCATCTTTGCAAAAGCACTAGGTAGGCAGATCATTTCAAAATGAAGTTGAATTTTGATCACCATAATAATCCCAGCTTATGTCAATGTTACTTCCTTTGTTATCTTTTTTTCCTTTTTTTAAAACAAGATCTCACTATGTTATCTAGGCCAGCCTTGAGCTTGCTGTGTTGCCCAGAATGGCCTCAAACTCAGGATTCTCATGCAACCACCTCCTGAGTGCTAGCATTACAGGCATGCACCACCACACCCAGCCTTGCACACTATTTCTTCCTGATAATTCAAGGATAAAATGATTCAGAAGGTAGTCTTGGATAACCCCAAATCAGAGAGTAAAGCAATAAAAATGAAACAGCAGATACTCAAAACATTTACAAAAAGGATTTACTGTAAATTTAGCACAGAGCAGGGCATGGTGGCTCACCTCTATAATCCTAGCACTCAGGAGGCTGAGGCAGGAGGATCATCATGAGTTCAAGGTCAGGCTAGGCTACATAAGCAAGTTCAAGACCAACCTTCATGACATAGCAAGACCCTAAACAAAAATAACAACAGAAACTTAACACAGTAAATTGCATGTAATGTTTAAGAATATGTTGGCCACTTTTAGTCATAAAAGTGTAGTGACCATTAAACTAACACTGCTAAGATTGGTACATATTTCATCTCTCTTAATGCTCACAGAAATCACTGAAGTGGGTTAAATGTTTTATTCTTGTTTTATGGTTGAGGAAACTGTCCCAAAGAGATGATATAACTTGACAGAGCCACAACTTACAAGACTCGAAGCCAGAGCCACAGTTTAAACCCAGGCAGTGCTGAGGATAAAACCCGGGCTTTGCACATGGCAGGCAAGCACTGTCCACTGAGGCTCATCCCAGCTTGCGTACTAACTGCGGAGCTGCCCCCTTGCACACCTAGTTTCCTGCCCCCGAGTAAGGTACAATGATTCACATACATAAATGTTTGGGAATTACCCACAGGAAAGTAGCTCTGTTTCTTAGCTTTTTCTTTTTTGCAGTAATGTAATCGAGACAGATAGCCCGCTGTGTGCTTCTCTACACCCGACCCTTCAGATGTGACTCCACAGGCACTTTTGAAACTTGCTTCCATTCTGACTGCCCTGCTTCCCCCTGCCGACAGCCTTCAGCAAAGGGAGCCCCCACCTCCCAGCCCAAAGCAGGCTTGCCCTTCTGATTGGTGAGGGTGGGTTGGGGACTTCCCTTAATCAACTCAGTGTCTGCTAGGGACTGTTAGTTCAGCTGGCTGTGGCTTCCAGTATTTACATGTTTTTCTGATTCATAACAGGTTACTTTTTTTTAACAACAACAGAAAAATTAGTTGTGGGCTGGGGATTTAGCTCAGCGGCCTAAGTGCCTGCCTTGCAAGTATGCGGTCGTGAGTTCGATCCCTGGTACTGATAAAAAAACGAAAAAGACAAAAAAAAAAAAAAAATCAATTGTAAGATTCACTGAGGGATTTTTAACCATATTAATTGACCCTTGGCTATAACTGTAAATTGTTGTCTCGGGAGATATGCTATTTGTAAGACAGGGCTGACCTCAGTGGCTCTCTTTGAGAGGTTTCAGGTCATAAATCCTTAGTACTCTATATACTGATTATGCTGGTTATACTTTGGTTTTGTATTTTTGTACTTCTGTATTCTCTTAGCTATTAAATCCATCATTTTTGTGATGAGTTTGTTACCTCATTTTTTTCCCTTAAGGCTTTCCCTCTACTTGCTTTTGACTACAGAGAAACAGTATTATTCCTCAGATCAGCAATACCCAAATTATTCGTATCCCTCTTTACTTATTTGAATTGTTTGGGGGTTTTTGTTTTTTGAACACTAGTGTCTAGGTCCTGGCTTAAGAAATGTCTGCTGTACATGGATTCATTCTACATTTCTTTCTTTTTTTCCGATCCTTGCTCTAATCTTTTGATGGTAGTAACATTCTTAGTAATTTGGAAGAGCACTGATTCACTGTTGGTGATCATTATAGGCTTATGTTATTTTTTTCTTTGGTTTTAGAGGTCAGAGTAACAACAGTACAGATCACTCAGTGGCTATATTTAAAACCAATTCTGTTGTGGCCCATAATAAATCTTGTAACTCAGAAAGAAAAAGAGAAAAGATTCTTAAAGAACGTAAGATTAAGTTGAATATAAGGGCTGGGAATATTGCTTAGTGGTGGAGCTCGTGCCTAGCAGGCATGAGGCCCTGGCTTTGATTCATAGTCATAAATACATGCATACTTTTATACATACACACATATGTACATAAGTGCCGCTTTATCCTTAGATCTTCTGCTTGTTTTTCTCTTTTGTGCTTCTTTTTGACAGTTTAATGAAAAGTGTGATTGGCATCCAGTAAACTACATGTGTTTAAATTACATAATTTGATAAATTTTGATCACCAAAATCAGAAGAATAAACATCTGCATGGCCCCCAGAGTTTGTCACATCCCTTTATAATCCAGCTGTCCTGTGCCCCTCTGTGCTCACATCTCCCAGCTATTAACTTGCTGTCAATTTGGATTAGTTTGTGTGTTTTATAATACTATATAAATGGAGTCAGATAGTATGTGTATGTATTGGTTTTGTCTGGCTTTTGTTTAGCATAATTATAGAGATTCATTAATATTGTTACATATTGTTTCCTTGTTATTGCTGATTCTACTGTGTATTTCTGTGTATTGCTGTTCTACTATATGGATATGTAGTTTATCTTATTTTACCATATACTAGCATTATGACTTTGAGTAACTTGGTCTTTATAAGCTTTAGTCTCTTAATTTGTAAAATAGGGATACATTGATTGGCGCGGTAGAGCAGGTGTGTAATCCTAGCACTCTGGGAGACTGAGGCAGGAAGACAGCAAGATCAAGACCATGTCTCAAAAATTTAAAAAGGGGTAGGGATAAAGCTCAGTGCAAATGTGGTAGATTCAATCTCCAGTACTACCAAAAAAATTTTTAAAATGAGGATATATCAGAGTAATTATCGTAGGGTAATTATGAATTAACTAGGATTATACATATAAAGCTTGTGGTAAAAAATTAGGCACATAGCAGGAGCTTGGTAGATAGCAACTGCTATTGTTTATCCATTAATCAGTAGCTCTAACCCTAACGACCCCTAGGCCCCTTACTTGCTGAATGTGTTGTTACATATTAGTGTCATGGTTGTCTACTCTAAACTGTGAAATGGTTTGCTACTAAGCTTAATTTGTAAAATATGTGTCTTGGTTACTTTTTTCTTGTTGCTGAGACGAAAGACCTGACTCCCAAAATGAAAGAAGGAAAGGTTTATTTAGCTTACAGTGTTTTGGAGGTTTCAGTCCATACTCAGTTGATTGCAAGGCAGAGTGGCATGGCTGAGTTTAACCTTTTCTTTTTTTAAATTTTTATTTAAAGAAAGACTAAACAAAACAGAAAATAGGTAGAAATAATACATACGTTCAGGGTAAAAAAATAAACAATAAGAAATCACTAGTTAATATTTACATATTGTCATTTTACAAATAGTTGTTCAAGGTACAAAAATGGAACATGTAAAGTGGGAATTCACACAATGAGACTGCAAACAGTTCTGTTCAACTGTCCAACAAAAACTTAGCAACATGGTTGTCAGTCCTATACACTTAAACATACATGCAGTTATCCTTATCTTCATTTATGTTTAGGTTAAACAAACTAAAGCAGGTTAAAATCGTTCTGAACAAAGAATAATAGTATTGCTGGATTTCACATCATGACACTCCGTGATCAGCACTGGGTAATATAGTGTCTTTTTTTTTTTAATTTAATTTAAAGAAAGACTAAACAAAACAGAAAACAGGTAGAAATAATACATAATTTCAAAAAAAAACCAGTAAGAAATCACTAGTTGATGGTTACAGATTGTCTTCTTACAAATAGTTATTCAAGATACTAAAGTGGAGCATATAAATTGAGGGTTCAAACAGTGAGATTGCAACCAGTTCTGTTCAACTATGCAACAAAAACTTAGAAATATGGTTATTAATCCTCTACACTTAAACATACATGCAGTTATCCATATCTTCAATTACGTTGAGATTGAACAAACCCCAGCAGGCTAATATCACTCTGAACAAAGAATAATACTATTGCTGGGTTTCACATTATGACACTCCAGCATCAGCACTGGGTATTTTAAGTGTCTTTTTTTGTCTTCAAAGTATCTGTTCATTTCATCATGTGTCATAAGATCAGTTCTCATAAACTGTTTATAGATTCTACACGTTCTTGGCGGCCACAAACAACAAGAGTGAAAAGGGAAAAAACGGAAAGGCTCGCTGCTTTCCCTCTCTTATATTGTATGTCAGTTACCCACCGCTGGGCGGGTACAGCACTCAGCACCAATCCCAGCACTAGACAGTGAACCAATCACAAATGCTGGACTCTGCCCCCTTGGAAAACACCCTCCACCATAGCTGCATGAGGCTTTGGTGCGACATTTAAACAAATCACAACAATGTGCTTTCAGATAGGTACTATCATCCACTTGGAAGTACCTTCTTGAGCTGCAGCAGTAGTGTCTAGTGGTATGAAGCAGTCAGTCTCTACCACAGTGGTGCAGCGTGTATGTCTTAATCACTTTTTAGTTAGGACGCAGTGCCGGATACCCATAACTTAAAGGATAGGTTTATTGTGGTTCATCCTCTCAGTCTACGGTCAGCAGACTCCAGTGCAGGAATGCTATAGCAGAAGCAGAGGAAAGCTGCTCACGTCATGGCACCAGGAAACAGAATGAAGGGAAGAGCCTGGAAAGGAGATAGTTACCTTCCTGGTCTCACTCCTAGTGATCCGTTGCCAGCCAGGCCAGA